AGCTGCAAGGGCCAATAATCGGTTCTAATTAATATGCAACACTCCTAGTAATTGTGTCTATGATATATATGAGACTTACTAACCTGCTCATGGTTGCGCATTGACTCCATATCCTCGGGTGCATCGAATATGCAGTAGTTTGTGCGCGGCTTTTCGCCATCCTGAGATATAGAACCGCCAGGGACTAATAGACCACCCGCAATCAATATATCAAACAGCACTTCACCGTAACGACGATAGTCGAGCTTGTTGCCCGCGCTGTCTAGAAACTTTGAGATTTGGTCCAGGTCGCCTTCAGTTTTTTCGAGACCAGCAATGACCGCATCACGGAATCCCGTTGGGTCATATTTTTCTCTTTCATCTGAGCACAAAAGCAAACAATTGCATTTATATTTAGATGTACCTTAACCTATATGGCACTTACCTCTTTTTCTGGTCTTGATGCGTTGACCCGATAGCACTGGTCTTTCAGTTTTTTGACTCATACAATAAATTGCTGTATATTTGGAATAGAGGATAAACGAAATATTAATTTTTTTTTAATTTATTTAAAAAATTTTTTTTTTTTATAAATGTACGTACAGTAGTAAATAAATCTATATATTTGACGTGATATGCAAGGCTACTAAGTTTTGTACGCATGGGAATGATTACACGTTGAATAAAATCGTGTGCCAATGCTATATAACCTAAAAAAATTGCTTGCTTGATCGTGTGTGTGCCCAACGCACACAATTCGAATAATCTTTTCACAGCTTGATAAAGCAGAAGAGCGAATGAAAGGCAAATTGCGAGAAATTGACTACAGAAGAGCCGAGCATAGAAGCACCAGAATAAAGTGAAATTTTTTTTTAACTATACGTATGTATATAAGCGCGTTGAATTTGTTACTGCCGACGCGCGTTTGCCAACGAGGTCAATGAATGTATATACATATATTTAATATATAGTATGTACACACACATAGACAAAGAATTTGTTTTAGCGGTTTTGATTGCCACCTAATTAAACTTACACTTTCACTTAAAGGAAATAAGTTTGCCAAAGATCTTCCGCGTGTAGGGTCCTTACTGTATTATACTTATATCTATAGTTTTGGTCTAGATGGCAGAAAAACTTAAAAATATAACCTCTGAAGTGTTGAACTATAAGTGCAATAGCTACTTGTATTTTATACTTAAGTTTGCCGTCTTTCTTACAAATTAACTGTAAAATTGACACGCACGCACACAAAGACACTGTTGAGAGAGGTGGAGAGAGAAAGCCACCGAAATTGCTGATTTTATTTTCTGTTTAAATGTTAACTTTAACAATTTTGTTGCTTTTAAATTCAGTGACACGTCAAAAATTCTATGTTTAATAAATATCACAATCGACTACTTTATACATACATGTGTATTCTTTTCTGTTAAAGTATTTTTGACGTACGAGCGCCTCTTCTGCGCACACCACTTTGTTAAACGAAATTCAGAAAGCAAATGACACACACAGTTCGTTGAATGCCGACGATAACGACACGACAACGACATGTGGTCAGCGCCATTTTGTGGCAATACATTGCCACTCAAGCGATACACACATGTACATTCAAGAATGTTCGTGTATTTTGCTTATGTGAGAATATTAATTTCGAGGTTCTGTGTCTAGGTCTGGCTTTTTGCAATTGATATAATGAACTAGATCTTTAGAGAATGTCGTTGAAAATTACGCGTAGTCATTTTTAGT